TGATGGGGCCATTTGTGTCCACTTGATTATTTTTCAATCATGCTTTAACACCAGCAATTAGGTTTTCCTATATCCAACTGGATTTGGGTTGTTTACCACTCTTCTTTGACATAGAAAATACTTGACAATGTTTACCCTCTGCATTTGCTGTGTCATGTGATTTGGACAAAAATAAAGACGTACCTGTGCTGACTGTCCATATCCTTGAGATGGCTGAGCTGCATAGGAGCCATACCTGCAACAAAGCAAACGTAAATTCCTTGCGTTGCCATGGGACCCAGTTAAGCACTACAGGGTTTGAAAATCGCAATGACCACCTCCATTTTGGAAGCATAGGAGCGTTGGAATGTTAGTTGTTATGTTAGACCACAAATCAATGTTTGTGGCCATTATTTAATAATTAATCGTGCAATGATTACGATACAACTATTTTTAGCCTCAATATGGCGGAGTATCGCCATAACAAAAATCCCACGATGCATGTATAAACCGTATAGCCATTACTGCGAAAGGCCATTCATTTGATTCAGTTCAATGATTGAACTAATCCGAGATCACGAATACTTACCCCTGCTGGGCAGTGGTCTGGTTGTAGGAACTGTAATCTGTCGGAGAAAAAATGTTTTTTAATGTGAGTCGACGTTTATATATCTAAAACACAACCCCAAACTCCTTCGCGCGTTTTGGCCGCTACTGCAACACTAGCTTGCAAGCTAGTTAGCATCCTGGCTAGTGACAAAGACGTAAGAAAGCCGACCGACGTTGATTAAAATTAGTCTTCGCCCACATAAAATTCACAGGATTGTGTTGATTGGGTGAAAAGCAGGCAAATATTAGTTAGCTACATCAACTTCATATCTATTTAAAGAACAAGACCGTATCATCCAAAGACCGAATGATTTGATGAATATGGCTAACGAAGGCCTTGACGTTAGGCTCGATTCCTCTTACCGTCTGTATTTTTTCATATCGTACTACAACACAATTAATACATTCAAAAATGTTGGAGTAAAACAAGCACATAACAGGCTATTCGATTCAGACACCGAAATGCTGAAATACATTAGTCAGTTATCTTTATTTTTTTTACCAACCTGGAGCCGACGCCATCTTAGTGTGCCTGCAGAAAGTGTGCTTGCTTGTGTGTGCGCTGAGCGGCTGAGCTCTGGATTATTCAGCAGGCGGCCAGTGGGCAGGCGCGTTCAAGGAGGCGGGACCCGCGTTCAAGACAAACCGGAACTCAGAAGTTTCAACTTGGATTTCCGACTTCCGGCATCATGCGTTTTACGTAACGCTGAAGTTCGGGGGGAAAAACACTGCAGTGCATATCCCAAGTCTCCTAAATTGCATCCACGTTTCCCTCACTTGCGTCCTTTCCTTGCGTCAAGTCCCTCCCACCGAGGATGCATTGAGAGACGCAAGGAAACCATGCGAGGAGAGAGGAAACAAGGATTTATTTATTTTTTAGAGAAATGAGACGTCCTTTCCTCTGAAGCGTCATGTAAAGCGAAGTCCGTTTTTGACGTGCTATATAGGCTACATAAAGTTGTTATTATTATTATTATTATTATTATTGTATCAAGAAGCATAAAATAACGGGCACTTGAACAGTTTCACTGCGATCTCCTTCAAATGTGCCAGATGTTAGGGGCGGAGTTATGAACAACATGGCGTTACGGGAAGGCTGCTGTCGTGTATCCTCGCTAGTGCTTAGCGATCATTATTTGTTTGCATTTGATTCGATTACGTTTCGATTAATGAAATTAATGTCGATTAACGAGTTCGATTACACGTTTTATTTTAACTTCAACAAGTATGGCCAAAATAACAACAAAACTGACCACTGAGAAACTGTTGTTACCAAAGATAATAGAGCGGAGCAAGATGGATCACTGGCTGCGAAATACGTTGACACCAATGAGGTACGCTCTCGAACTCTATGGGCGCCATTTTAGTAAGCTCAAGTGTTACCGGAACCCGAAAATCCGACAGGAGTGCTGCAGGCAGCAGGCGGAGGCTGGCGTTCACCGTCGTGGGAAAATGCCCTGTATCTTTTAAATACAAATGTGTCCACAGTCATGGTGACTAGATATGTTTGTCCCTATAATAATAATAAAAAGTGGCTATAATAATAAAAAGCTTTGTGTGCTTCGCGCTGTTTGAGGGGACTCGTGGGATGGAATTGTGTCTGAAGTGTAACGATGAGGTTGGCTCACAGCTTGGGCACAACGGTGGCCTACGTTAGTAGATAGCGAGACGATAGAGGGCCATGTGGTCGATAAGAATATGGTTGAATTGGGATTACATGATGTGCCCGGGCATTCGAGGTTTTGCATGGAATTATATTTATTTATACACGTTTTGTTTAATCCTATGTGGCCTTATTTGCTTGAATCGAGCCAAGAATGTTGAGGTGGCTTACTAAAATGGCGTCCATTCAGGCTGAAAACGTACTTCACCGCCCTGACGCTACTGATACATCTTGCTCCGCTCCATTATCTTTGGTTGTTACTTTTCCAAAAATACATTCCACTAGCCTAGAAATCTAGACGCCCCTAGCAGCAGCAAATTTAATTTGCAGCCAGGGGGTCTAGCATTTTGTCGTCGTTTTGCGCTGCTGGAAACAGAAAATCTGTCAGGCCAATCACATCGTGAGGGGCGGAATCGGAAGCCGGGCTACCATGACGACAGAGTTGCGACGGTTCCGTGTTAGAGGTAAACAATGGCTGCTGCTGCTGGCGAACAGCTGTCTTTCGACTCGGCTTTGGCCGCGACTCTTCAAGACTTGAAGTTAACATTTTATTTCACAATTTCTTCCACAATCCACCATACGGATCACTTCCCCATGGACTTATTTCCGTCGCTCTGACTACGTCACCTTCTTCGTTGCTCTGATTGGTTGTAGCGCCGTCCTATTGCGTCTAGAGGGAACACAACCGTTTATCAACCGTTATCAACTGGAGACAACCGTTTATCCCGCCCACACTGCCAATGGAGCAGTGCCAGACCCTACATCTTTCTGGTGTGGGTCTGGCTTGCCAGGCTAACTTGGCCTTTTGGAAAACTAAACCTGAACCTTTGTTTTGAAGAGATAGCAAACTGCTTATTATTGTACTTAATATAATATAATATATAATACTAATATAATACTTTGTTTTGTTTTCATCATCACAACTTCCGCATTCATTCATTCTAAGTAGATCCCAAAATCTTCTCCCAACGAGAACCTAGCAGTTTTTATTGTTTGAACAACTGATCTCTACTATTCTAGGTGATACACTACAAATCCATTGGGCTGTTCCTGCGCACGTTTGAAATGCTAGTATTAGCACGCACGGTCATTATACGTGCAACATTTGTGTTAGCCTAGTGGCAGTAGATAACATTTGCTCCGTCGTATCGTTAAGGAGCACATGCTTACAAACTCACACAATAATATGCTGAATATGAGGAACCCAATGCTGATCTGCAAGTATTGGTTGCAGAGATGTAAAACAACACTGAGCAGGTAGTAAAAGACGAGGGCATATAGCTCAGAGGTAGACAGCATGCTTTGCATGTGTGAGGCTCTGGGTTCAATCTCTGTCATCGCCAAGTTCTGAGCAAAGTGCAGATTTGTCTATTATTCATCCAAACTGAATCACATGATAGTATCCCGTTCCAGTTTGTTAGTCTGAAAGGCTGATATAGTTGAAGATCATTTGTGGTGAAGGCGATTGCCTAGAAATCCATTGGGTGCATGTTCCAAGCTTTTACTGTAGGCACGCCCATTATGGCAAACATTTGTGTTACCCTAGTGCCAGTCGATAACATTTGCTTTGTTGTATTGTTAAGCAAATCTTCACTTATTGTTTGCAGAGATGTGCAATTAACTCATTGGCTGCCAGCCATTTTCAGTGCAGAGAGCCCCATACTGCCAAGCGTTTTACAGCATTTTGACTGATTTCCTAAGACCCACTTAACAGTGAGTTCTATGACTATGTAAACACCGAAACTATCAAAAGAAAGAGTAGACTCTCTTCTTTAATCAGGAACAAACCGTTTGTGTCTACCTTTTTACGTTCTTTAGTAATCGGCAGTAGAACATACGTTGGTTTCACCAAAAACACCTGTTTTTGACAAAAAATGGAGAAAACAAGCTTTTTGTGTTACTCATCTCTCCCATCCTATTTGGCACGGGGCCCACCTAGTGGGTCAGTTCGGTAGTACATACTATGTTTACAAGCCTGATTTTTTGTGACAAGGTCCTCTAGATCGCTCCCCAGTCAGCCCCGTTGAAAAACATAATTGACGTCTATAGACGTCATTGGCAGTCAACGGTTGTATTTCAATTGACGTCTATAGACGTCATTGGCAGCCAATGAGTTAAATTAAGAGAAGGGGACGTGGTACAGTAGCTCAGTGGTAGAGGGCTTGCTTTGTGTGAGGACGAGGGTTCCATACCTGGCATCTCCAAGATGTGATCACATTTCTGTGATGTCCAGAGAGACTCATGATCCCAAAATCATCTCCCAACCCAAACGTTGTAGTATGTTACTTTTTGAACGACTGACAGACTTTTAGCAAAAGAATGTGTTGTCTTGGCCGAGTGGTTAAGGTTCTGGACAAGAAGTCCATTGGGGTCTCCCCTGGTTCAAAACCCCAACATCTCCAAGATATGGTGACGTCTAGGGAGGTTCATTTTATCCAAAGTAGATCCCAAATCTTTTTCAAACCGTAACGATAAAGTTTGTAATTGTTTGAACAACTGATATACATTAAGCTGAACATGTATTGTGGTGGCCGAGTGGTTATTGTGATGCATTAGAAATCTATTGGGGTCTCCCTGCACAGATTCAAATATGCCGACAATTTTGAATTTGCACAATTGTACTATTAACAGGCAAGACAATTCTGGGCAACATTTTTTGCACCCTAGTGCTAGTCGTTAACCCTTGCACTCTTGTATCCTTAAGCAAAGCTTCAGGTATTCTTTACCTAGATACACACAAACCAGAAGAGCGAGATCTAGCAGCGGTAGAGTGCATGCTATGCATGAATGAGCCCCTGGGTTCAATCCCCAGCATCTCCAAAATGTGATCAAATGTCTTTGTTGTCTGCAGAGCATGGTTTTATCCCAAGAGCCTAGCAGTTTATTATTGTTTGAACAACTGATACCACTATTCTAGGCATAGAAAAACAAATCCATTGAGGGCTCCCCACTAGGGCTGAACGATTAATTGCATTTGCGATAATATCGCAATATGACAAAACACGATTTTCTAACCGCAAAGGCTGCGATTTGATTGGTCACGTGACTTGCGAGTGAGCCGACCGGAGCAAAGCAGAGCAGGCAGGGAGAGACGCTGCGCTTTAACCTGCTGCACAATGGCCTCAGGCTCATCAGAAGAGCGCACAGCTGAAAGTTGTTTTTGTTTTTTTAAATGTATTATTATGTATTATTTATTAATCCGCACTTCCAGACCGTCACCGGGGCTTCAGAGTAATGTGTCAGAGGAGAGTAACCCTCTCCCGGACACATACGCTAGCTTTTACCACTGTTTTAAAAAAAATGTATTTTAATTATTAATCCGCACTTCCAGACCGTCACCGGGGCTTCAGAGTAATGTGTCCGATGAGAGTAGCCCTCTCCCGGACACACGCCAGCTTTTACCGCTGTTTTATTCCATCCGCACTTCCAGACCGTCACCGGGGCTTCAGAGTAATGTGTCCGATGAGAGTAGCCCTCTCCCGGACACACACGCTAGCTTTTACCGCTGTTTTTTTTTTTTTTTTTTTTATCCGCACTTCCAGACCGTCACCGGGGCTTCGGAGTAATGTGTCCGATGAGAGTAGCCCTCTCCCGGACACACGGTAGCTTTTACCGCTGTTTATTTTCAACTTTCAGCTTTATTATTATTTTTTTTTTATATCTGACTGTATATTTTATTCATTTATTTATAGACTGTCCTGTTAAGTTCAGACAGTGTTTAAGAAGTGCAGTCCACGTTTACATATCATGTTTCATGAAACGTGAAAAGTTAGACATGTTGAGGTAAAGCCACAGATTTGTTTGCTTTATTGTTGTAATCTGCGCTTTAAATAAATCTGATATTGTCTATTATGAAACAGATTGATTTATTGCTTGTGTTCGTTGAAAAATAAATAAGAGGACCTTGAAAAAATAATCGCATATTAAATCGCAATCGCAATATTGAGGGGAAAAAATCGCAATTAGATTATTTTCCAAAATCGTTCAGCCCTACTCCCCACGCAGGTTTGAAATGGTACTATTAGCACGCACGCCCATTACGTGCAACATTTGTGTTAGGAGTAAATGTTAATATTTGTGTTAACATTTGCTCCGTCATATCTTTATGGAGCACATGCTTACAAACTCACATAATCTGCTGAATATGAGGAACCCAATCAAAGTGCAGAGTTGTCTAGGGTGGATCATATCATCCAAACTAAATCACACGAACATGTCCCATTACAGTCTCTTAGTGTTTGAAAGACTCATAGACTTGAAGCTGATGTGCATGTCTGTTGTCTCTGGATAGATTAAGGTGATGGACAAGAAATCGATTGGGGTCTCCCCACGCATGTTGGAAATGCTGCTATTAGCAAGCCCAGGCATTAGGGCAAACATTTGTGCTACCCTATTGACAGTCGATAACATTTGGGGGGAGTTCCATCAACATGGCTAATGAAAGCGGAACTTACTTGAAAAAGCCAGGCTTGACTTATTGTGAACTTCAACTTAAGCCTCAAGCCGTTCCACTAACACAACTCAGCCACGTCTAGCCAGCGTTACCTCAAACCAGGCTGGAGTAAGCCTGGATTGTGCGCGTGCACGGTGTACATAAGCGTTGATTGTCAAAAAGACAATATTATGTCTCAGAAGGACGGAAAACCTAGAGCGGTGTTCTAGAGCAGAACAGATCCTGTTGATGGAACTCTACGATGAATATAAAGGAGTCATCACTAAAAAGGGCAATACTGCTGCAATTAACAAAGCCAGGGAGATTGGCTTGGCAAAAAATTGCTGACAGGCTAAATGCGTAAGTTAGACAAGCCTTATGGTTTCATTTTGTATTTATTAATAAATTAACATTCAGATCACAGTAATACTGCTATATATCAGCATAGGCTAGATAATTGGGTAAGGTGTTTGAAGCCTTTTTGACCTATAACCCTTGGCCTATATTCATTCTTCGATTACATCTCAACAGGAGCCATCTCAATAGCCAAAGAAGAACCTGGCAACAAGTGAAAATTAAACATAAAAACATTTTTTCAGAGTAGAATAGAATAGAGAATAGAATTCTTTAATGTCATTGCACAGAATACAACAAAATTGGATGGCAGTCCTGAGTCTAGGTGCTTATAGATAAATAAAAGAAATAGAGTTCTAAAATAGTATAAGACAATACAAAACATAAATGTCCAGCTTTTCACAGACAGCCCCCCTCTCTACCCTCCCATTTTCCCCACATACATTCACATACATTCTCCAGTGCATATTTTTAAAGTGACAGTAAGGTAGAATGGGAAAAGTGCATAAAGTGCATACAGTCCGACACTAAGAGGGGCTCAGTCTCTCCGTGTGTGAGGGTGGCTGGAAATCTTCAGTGTCCGTATTGCGGTGGGGTAAAAACTGTTTTTGAATCTGTTGGTGTGTGATTTGATGGACATGAAACGTTTGCCGGAGGGCAGCAGTGCAAACAAATGATGACCGGGGTGTGAGGGGTCTTTCAAAATGTTTGCAGATCTGGTGAGACAGCGGGAACTGAAGATGTCCGGCAGGAAAGGCAGACACAGTCGGTGATTTTTTGGGCGGTATTTATTATCCTTTGTAAGGCCTTCTTTTCCGCTGCTGAGCAGCTGGTATACCAGGCGGAAATGCAGTAGGCCAGCACGCTTTCAATGGAGCAGCGGTAGGACACCAGCAGTTTCTCCACCAGGTGGTGTTTCCTGAGTATTCTCAGGAAGTGGAGTCGCTGCTGGGCCTTCTTGACCATGTGGTGGATGTTGGTAGTCCAAAAGAGGTCCTCTGTGATGTGTGTGCCCAGGAACTTGAAGACAGGAACCCTCTCCACACATTCCCCGTTAATGTGGAGCAGCTCCATGTCTGTCTTTTTCCTTCGAAAGTCTATGATTATTTATTTAGAAAAGAGTGGTATGTAGCCTATAATGAAATGTATTTGTCAAAATAGTTGTTGAGCTGTTAATATGTACCATTGTAGCCACCAAAAAAAAAAGACGGATGCCATTGCTACTAGTAGGGGAACTCCACCTGAGGACCTCACACTGGCAGAGGAGCTGGCGCTCAGCTGCAACGGGGGGTGCCCTCTAATAGAGGGGGGGGACGTCCTCAGTAGTTTCTAGTGAGACTACAAGCACAAGTTCCTCATTTTCAAGCCCGCCTACAGGGGGAGGAACCCATTGCACTGCAAACCTATTACAGATCAGTGCCAGTGGGTGGGACTTCATTTGCAGAAACCTGGGGAAACCAAAACTAAGCTAACAGACAGGGTCGGACTGGGAACAAACTTCGGCCCTGGCAATTTTCTCCTGGACAGGCCCACCACTGGACCGACAACCCCCCCCCCGCGCGATCGTAACACACCCCGGACCGACGACCGACAGGGGGGGGGGCGCGATCGTAACACACCCCGGACCGACGACTGACGGGGGGGGCGATCGTAACACACACTGAACCTGTCATGAAGAGGCCAAAAATATTGACCTGTCACCCCCCCCTCCCAAGCCAAATGGATGCAACTGCATTTATACATGACGGGCCGCAGCATGGGCCGTGCTGGTCAAATAAATAACTTAATAAACATTTTTGCATTAAAAAACAAAAAAACAAAACAAAAAATCTCGGAGTCCACCGGCCCACATGTGGACCGGCATTTTCCCGGTTGTACAGATTGCTAGTCCGAGCCTGTCTCGTGGTAGCTATTAGTAGGTAGATTGATGAGTGGTGTATCTTATAGGCGGAGTTCAACATCAGTGGGAGTGGCCTGCGGAGCTGAATCATTGGGGTGCATGATGGGAGTTGTTGTCTGTAATCCACAAGCCCTAAAAAGTCATTTTCTGCCTTTTCTCGGTCAAGAAGGCACCAAATTGGAAATGTATGCTACTATTCGACTACATATATGACCCACTTTCAATACATACTCATGTTTCAACCGGTGAAGTGGCCTTTTAACAACCGCAGTGTTCTTCTGTTTGCAGGGAAATTGCACCAGCACGTCTAGGGCCATTGATGAGGAGACGACGTCTGCAGACACTGAAATGCCAGAGGTAAGACGTGAAATGTTTTGGATGTGTCTGCATTCTACAAATGTCATATAACCATACACCTTGCTGCAGGATGTGACCAGAACAAGAAGTTCACCAGCAAGCAATGAAGTAAGCAACTATTCATATTACCATTACTACATAACCAGCTACTCTTTCACAGGATGTCTGTGAATTTAAAAGGGCCACCTGCTCCTCTGTTAACAAAACCAAAAACTAGACCTGCAATATAAAAAGTTAATGACAAAGAAATAAGAAAAAAAGTTATTCCCCCTTTGAAATCCTTAAAATGACATTGCCACCTTCTCCCTCATTACGAATTTCCAAATCTATGAACATGCTATATATTGTTGTTATGTTACGTTATGTTACTTCTAAAGTAAAAACATTTGGGTAGTAACTACATTCTCTTGCCTTGCACAAACCTCTGTGACAGTGATGATGCTCGAAAAATCCTCGAATCATGGACAGAGCCCAGCCATTTTGCTTCGATATTAGATATCAGGCAACTTCCATCACAGATCATTTGACAGAATAGAGGGTGACCGTCAATTATGTGGCACACTTTGCTTCGCAGAGTATAACTAAAATTGCTCAGCATGAATATGAAGGGTTGATGCACTATTTCTGTTCAATACAGTTGCTTCTTTGTGTAAGGCTTTGTAAGGTAAGACATTGAAATGGACATTTCTGTGAACAACTGCCAGGGTTACAGGATTTACATCCAGAGAAGCTGTAGGAGCCATTTTCAGTTTAAGTTAGTTACAATCTTTTATTTTGGAAGGACTTTTATTTTGACAGTCGTGAGAAGGCCTTCAGCCTTAAGATGGCCGACACCCCCCTCTGACCTCTGAACCTAGAACAAAGGAGCTTAGAACAGACGTTAGAAGGCATACAGTTCTTTACTGAACATATTGAACATAATGAACATAGTGCACATAATGAACATATTGAACTTACTTTAATTGAACCTTTTGTACTTTACGGCTAACAACTTAGACTTTTGAATTTTTTACCGTTTGAACTTTTGGATGATTATTGGATTACTGGACTTTTGCTACTCTGGATTTTTTTCTTTGTTTGTTTCAACTCCATCTGCTTGCTCACCTGCTTACTACTCACCTGCCTGCCCTGCCTGCCTACCTGCTTACTATTGAAAAAAATAAAATTTACGAAAAGGCCCAACGGTTACTTGGAGCCAGGATAACAATGTCACATTTATAGGTGGTCCCCCTCCCCTCACAGAGAACCTGTCACAGTGGGCATTGTTTATAGGTGCTCCCCCTCCCCTCACAGAGAAGTCAAATTGGCACGGCGTCTCAGCCTCCCCACGAAAGACGGGGGAGGCCGTCTGAGCATGGCCTTCCCCACGAAAGACGGGGGAGGTCGACTGAGCATGTCCTTCTATCTAGTCTCAAACTAGCTGAACTTGCCCTTTCTGACGATAAATGTAGCCATGGCCCGCTCATGATGTCATCCCCCTTGGCTGAACCTGTCTTTTAATCTATAAGATATCCACAGACCTGAGACTCAGGGCTCACAATCAGCAGAACCTCCTAGGAGGCGAAGCTCTTTGTGACACCAGCGCTGTATTCGTATTTACCCGTTGACTTTTGCCAGTTGATTAAGAATAAATCTACTTAGTTTAATTCAGTTTATTTCTCTTTATGTCTCATCTGATACCGACAGCGTCCGCACCGTTGTAGCTTAGTATAGGCCCGAGTTTTTTTCTCCCAACATTACCCTCCATGCCTGCTTACCTCTGCCTCCATACATCTTCATCAATCAAGGTACAAACTCATTTTGCACATTCAGTCAAAGAAGCTTGCTTGACTTGCGTCTGTACTTGTGGCTATTTCGTTTGCAACTTGGAAATATGCCTTCACAGAAGCATTGACAACAAAACTAATTTGATCTATTATCACAGATGTGCACAATTCTTCCAGATCCTATTATTACGATTCTATTACTATCCTGTACATACCTGTACATTTAGGCTATGGAAAAAGATTTCCTGTTAACATAGTCTGCCTTCACAGGTCCAGATGGGGCCTGGAAAAGCACATGGGTGCAGTCTATGGTGCCTATAACATTAAGGAAGCCTGAAGGAGAGGATTAAGTTAATACAGAGACATGTCAGCCTGTAGGCTACTTTCAATGTATTTTTACTGTCACATACCTGCAATTGAATAAAACGCCTCCTTGATTCTTTGTGTTTTGAGGTGGCCAGGGAAAGCGTTTACCCTTCTTATTTCCTGGCATACAGTTGCCTTCGCAAGACCTTCTGCATCACCAATACTGTACAATAATGAGTGTGCTTTCTAATGTGTGGATCCAGCAGACCACATAGGTCAACTATGCTGGGCCAAGTGAATCTGTGTCTCTCCCACAGGTACTCATCATGGAAACCCAGTGGATTACTCCTGTCTCTGAAGACCCTTGGTGCTGGTGGTGTGAACGCGCTGCTTAGGATCTGTGCACCTTCCGCCACAGGCAGAGGCGATTCTAGAGTCTGTGGGGGCCCCAAGCAAAAATTCCTAGGGGGCCCTACCGACTATTGTTCATCACCATTATGTTAGGCTATAAATAATTTGACACCAACGGAAAATGTATGAAATAAAAACTTGTTTTATTCCAAATGTTCACATATCATACCATACATATTAGAATTGAAGTATATAACATGAAAAACCTTGTAATATGAAAATATAAATGTAAAGAATAAAAAAAAAAAATAACAACAAGGTTGTTACATTGTAAATAACTCACAGTATAAGGCTAGTGCTTATCAGCACTCCTTAAGCACTGGTTCAAATTCTGCCTTGGCTAGAGCAAAAACAAAATAAATAACTAAATAACAACAAGGTTGTTACATTGTAAATAAATAACATTATAAGGCTAGTGCTTATCAGCACTTTTTAAGGACTGGTTCAAATTCTGCCCTGATTAGTGCAAATGCCTTGGCTAAATTGTGCTCTAATGAATTAGTGTTCACTTCAGTAGAAAGTTGGCACAATATGAATAGAACAGATGGAGCAATGGAAAATAGAATAGAAAAATAAAATACAGTAAATTACTTTAAAAACCCAATATAAACTTTGCACAAAATATAAAGTATAGAAGTGAAATAGTTGTATTGGGGTCCTATACCCACAGTAGACAATTCCTCATAAGCCCCTTTTATGCACTGCTTCTAGAAATGCTGCTTATGGGCCTTGGCTTGTGCAAATGCTGACACTATGTCCTCCAGATCCAAAGACTTTCGCACCCTACACTCTATTCAATAGAGTGTAGGGTGCGAAAGTCTTTGGATAATGCTCCTGTCAGGAGCATGCAAAATCACGTAATCCATCATTCAATCTCTATGGACTAAATTCTCGCTTGTTCACCGGCGAGCGGCAAGCGCTCTGAGACCAAGTCGCGGGGGCCCCCTAGCGGCTCGGGGCTCCAAGCATTTGCCTGCCTTGCCTGTTGGCAAGCTGCGCCCCTGGCCACAGGGTCATCAATGAATGGACATGCCATAGTTGGTTGGAAAGGTTGTGGTCCTTAGATGCACTGCATAGACAAGGCCTATGTCAATTAACCCATTGTCTTTAGGCATTATGATATTCCCCACCCGCATTCCGCAAAGATCTGCACCTACTCTGCCTTTGATTGGCTCTGACGCTGATATTCTTACCTTAACCAATCTAACCAACGAAGGCAACGACTGGTAGACAATCAGAGGCAATTAAATAAGGATTTTCTTTTATTTAACTGTTCTTTTTAACACTTTTTATCTTCAGCATTTGGAGTTGCATTTGATGTATGACTTCTACTATATAAATTAAGTTTTATTGATTGATTTACATGACAGAGTTGTTGCACCCTCTTAACAGTCATTAACAATACCTCAGTTGTATCATTAAGCAAAGCTTCAGGTATTGTTTCCAGGAAAGGGCATGTAGCTCAGTGAAAGAGTGCATGCTTTGCATCTTTGAGGCCCTTTGTTCAGTCTCTGAAATGTGATCAAATGTCTTTGATGTATAGATAGAATGGTTTTATCCCAAAGTGTTGCCCCAACGAGAACCCAGCACTATATTATTGTTTGAACAACTGATCTCTACCACTATTCTAGGCGATACACTACAAATCCATTGGGGTCTCCCCGCACAGGTTCAAAATACTACTATTAGCATGGACGCACGCCCATTACGTGCAACATTTTTGTTAGCCTAGTGGCAGTTGATAACATTTGCTCCGTCGTATCGTTAAGCAAAACTTCAGGTATTGTTTGCAGAGATGTGCAAGTAAAGTAAGAGAAGGGGATGTAGCTCAATGGTAGAGGGCTTGCTTTGCATGTGTGAGGCCCCGGATTCAATCCTTGGCGTCTCCAAGTTGTGATCTACGTGCTCCAGTAGGGTGGTGTATATCGTCCAAACGATCATGTCTGTTATTGTTTGAAAGACTTGAGCATGTGTGTTGTCTCTGGATAGGTTAAGCTGATGGAATAGAAATCCATTGGGGTCCCGTGCGTGTTGGAAATGCTGCTATTAGCAGGCATAAGGGCAAACATTTGTGTTACCCTGTTGACAATTGATAACGTTTGGTCCCTTGTGTTGTTAAGCAAAGCTTGAGGTATTCTTTACAGAGATGTGCAATTAGTGGTAGAGCACATGCTTACAAACTCACATAATAATATGCTGATTATGAGGAGCCCAATGCTGCTCTGCAAGTATTTGTTGCAGAGATGTAAAGCAACAGTAAGCAAGTGCAGCAGGAAAAGGGGGTGTAGCTCAGTGGTAGAGCACATGCTTTGCCCCGGGTTCAATTTCCGGCATCTCCAAGACATGAACCTAGAAAAGAAATCCATTGGGGTCTCCCTGTGTTTGTACAATTCTACTGTTAGCAGGACAGCTAATGTAAGAGTGCCTACTTTGCATCTATGAGGCCCTGTGTTTGATCTCTGAAATGTGATCAAATGTCTTTGTTCTCTATATAGAGAATGGTCTTACCCCAAGTAGAACTTACCATTTTACTATTGTTTGAACAACTGATCTCTACTACAATTTTAGGCGATAGACTACAAATCCATTGGGGTCGCCCAGCACAGGTTCAAAATGCTTCTATGAGCACTATTACCTTCTATTGTGTGCATCATTTGTGTTACCCTATTGATAGTCGATAACATTTGTTGTTAAGCAAAGCTTGAGGTATTCTTTGCAGAGATGTGCAATTAAAGTAAGAGAAGGCGGTGTAGCTCAGTGGTAGAGCACAGGCTTACAAACTCACAAAGTTATCTGCTGATTATGAGGAGCCAATGCTACTCTGCAAGTATTTGTTGCAGAGATGTACACCAACAGTAAGCACCTGAAGTTGGAAAAGGGGATGTAGCTCAGTGGTAGAGCGCATGCTTCGCATGTATGAGGCCCCGGGTTCAATCCCCGGCATCTCCAAGACATGAAACTCGACTAAAAACCCATTGTGGTCGTCTGCGCAGGTTCAAATCCAGCTGACAACTGTCGTACATTTCTACTGTTGGCAAGCCGAACAATGAAATAGCGCATGCTTTGCCTCTATGAGGCCGTGGGTTCCATCCCTGGCATCTCCAAGAGGTGATTAAGTTACTGTGTCCTCCAGAGACCACAGTTTTATCCAAAGAAGCCCAAAGGAAACCTTGCACTATTTTATTGTTTGAACGACTGACAGACTGATTTAAGTTGAAGGAGGCGTGTTGTTGTGGCCGAGTGGTCAAGGAGATGGACTAGAAATACAATTCCACTATTAGCAGGCCAGAGAAATCAGTGCAGCAGTTATTGCACCCTCTTAACAGTCGTTAACAATACCTCTGTTGTATCATTAAGCAAAGCTTCAGGTATAGATTTAAGGGAAAGGCATGTAGCTCAGTGGAAGAGCACATTCTTTGCAGCTTTGAGGCCCTTTGTTCAATCTCTGAAATGTGATCAAATGTCTTTGATGTATAGAGATGATTTTATCCCAAAGTGTTGCCCCAACGAGAACCCAGCACAATATTATTGTTTGAACAACTGATCTCTACCACTATTTTAGGCGATACACTACAAATCCATTGGGGTCTCCCCGCACAGGTTCGAAATGCTACTATTAGCACACACGCCCATTACGTGCAACATTTGTGTTAGCCTAGTGGCAGTCGACAACATTTGTTCTGTCGTATCGCTAAGCAAAGCTTCAGGTATTGTTTGCAGAGATGTGCAATTACCGTAAGAGATGGGGATGTAGCTCAGTGGTAGAGCGCATGCTTTGCATGTATGAGGCCCTGGGTTCAATCCCCGGCATCTCGAAGTTGTGATCTATGTGCTCCAGTAGGGTGGTGTATATCGTCCACATGATCATGTCTGTTATTATTTGAAAGACTTGAGCATGTGTGTTGTCTCCGGATAGGTTAAGCTGATGGAGTAGAAATCCATTGGGGTGTGTGTTGGAAATGCTATTAGCAGGGCAAACATTTGTGTTACCCGATTGACAGTCGATAACGTTTGGTCCGTTGTGTTGTTAAGCAACGCTTGAGGTAATATTTGCAGAGATGTGCAATTAGTGGTAGAGCACATGCTTACAAACTGACATAGTAATCTGCTGATTATGAGGAGCCAATGCTGCTCTGCAAGTATTTGTTGCAGATATGTGCACCAACAGTAAGCAGGTGAAGCAGGAAAAGGGGGTGTAGCTCAGTGGTAGAGTGCATGCTTTGCATGTATGAGGCCCCGGGTTCAATATCCAAGACATGAAACTAGACCATAAATCCATTGGGGTCTCCCCACGCAGGTTCAAATCCAGTTAAAAATGGTCGTTAGCTAATGAAAGAGTGCATACTTTGTGCATAAATAATCCAAGAAAGTGTTCTTATATATAGGCTCAATGGAAAACATTTGAGTTACTCGGCATGGAATTAGCTGGCAACATTAATATGAATGGTAATTCCTAAATATATACCTAAAATTGTTATAACAGGGAATAAGAATTTGGAATGATGTGTAGTTTTGCTATTAAATAAAGTGCTCTCAGAAATCTCAGAAGTAACCTGAATTTGGATAAGTTGATCCATTGCACACAACATATTTAAAACAGCTAAAATTAATACCTGGAGAAAGTTTTGTTCTTCTATTAGAGAGAGAGAGAGAGAGAGAGAGAGAGAGAGAGAGAGAGAGAGAGAGAGAGAGAGAGAGAGATGTGGGCCATTATGGAATATGGTTAAAAAAAGATGAGGTTAAATAATTCAATTCCAGTTCTTGCAGATGGAGATAATTTAGCAATAACAGATTAGGAAAAGTATTTGCTCACAGTGGAAATCATCTTACTGAAATACATAAACAAAGGAAATAAGAAATATTAAAAGATTAAAAGATAATGAAAAGCTGCATGTTAAAAAGGTACAAACCAGCTCAGCTCTGGATATGGAATTTACTTTGAGGGAAATGAGAAGGGCATTAGAGGGCGGCAGGCTTTCTGCTCTGGGACAAGATCAAGTATGATATGTCATGTTCAGACAATTACTAGAGAGAGCATTAGAAAGTGTTGAAACTTTTCAACAAGATATGGACAAAAGGTATCTGCTAAGTGGAAAATGGCATTCATTGTACCATTTGCTAAGGCCAGGAAACTAGACCAATATCACTAACTTCCCACTTGCGTAAATGGATGGGGAAAAAAAGATTGTTTACAGGTTAGAATATTTTGTAGACAATACATTTCTTAAATGAGAACCAGAGCGGTTTTAGAAAAGGAAGATCCACAGCAAATACTCTAATTAAAGTTTGTAATGCAAAATTGAAAAGACTTAATATGAAGGAAGTGATGGCTATGGTTTTCTTTGACATTGAGAAAGCTTATGATTCCATGTGGAGAGAATGTCTATGTGGCAGTTGCTCCCTGCCACCTTAGTGGCTTTTGCTGGGGCCCTCCGACGCAGGACACAGGTAGATGTTTGAGAACGCATTTATTGGCGATAGCGAGATGGTATTTGCCAAGCAGCTGTAACATGCTGCCATGACAGAGGCTCTCTCCTGAGTGTGTGGCTGCGTTTCATTAGTGGGTTGAGTCGCCCTCGCTCACTTGCCCTCAGCCCTTGGTAATTTGTCACACGGAGGCCACTTGGAGAGCCGAGGGGAAGTGGGCGGGGGAGGAGGAAAAGGTATAAATGGAACGCACCTGCCCTCGCCCGGTGACAGCCTTGACTATCATGGATCGGCCACACGTTGTTGGTGTAGCGCTCTATTGCCTATTGCAAATAACGCGCAATATACGGAGACTCAGATCTTTGACACGAAGACGTCTTCTGCGCTTAATAGCAATACGCCAGCACCTGGTCATTTCAGAATTATTAGTTTTGTTTTATATTTTATTCAGACAATTCATTTATTTATTTTTTTACCTTATTTGTAGAAAGTTTGGTTGTTTAAACACATTTAACCTACTTTCAGTTTAGTTGACATTAGTTTTAGATAGTTATTTCTGATAGTTATTAGGCCTGTTACCACCATCCTCATCCTCATCATTGTCTTTAAATGGCCTTTATTGTTCAAGATTGTGGTTCAGAAAACTATACAAACAACACTTAAAGTCATGTAGGATAGATGTTACAGGGAACAGTGTTAGGGGAGCGATAGCTGCTGGACCCAAGAGCAGAAAACAGAGGCAGTACAGGAGTGGAGTGAAGATGAACAGGTTTATTGGATGTAACAGGAGTGAGGCAGGGGGCAGGTTGGAGAGTGGGGGTGCATCGGCTGGAGGGAGTGAGGCGGGCAGGCTGGAGGTGTAGGTCCACAAACTATAAACAAAGAGAAAAAAACAGTGAGGCATGAAACATCAGCAAGAGAACTACTAGAGAGTGTATACACTGGAGCCAGGTACGAATAACTACCACGGTGTCTAGTAGTCCGATCTGGCGACGTCCGCAGGGAAACCAGGTGTATTTGAAGGGGAGTTGATGAGCTGACGCGGACCAGGTGTGAGTAGTTGACAAACAGGGGGTGTGGCCGAAAACAGGGGGAGAACACACAGCACCACAACTGTGGCCATGACAGAACAGTAGTCTATAAGGATTTATAGTGGTTGCTTCAATTTCAAATGAGAAAAAAAGCATGTAGTTGTTTGTGCATTCTTTATGCATTCGTATGTGATGCTCACAGTTTTGTCTTAATCTTTTTTATATGAGTGAATTTGTTTTGCCAATTGTGCTGTTTCTATACACATCTATGCTAATTGCCTTGTATTTCTTTTTTAGGTTTTCCCATTTTTTGGCCGCCTGTGTTCCTGTCAGCCTTCCCTGCAGACCCATCCTCTGTACAATTGTTCTGTTTGACAATAAAATAATTGTTATGCACACCAAATACATTAAACACATTATATAGTCTCCCG